CTCTACTTGTATATTCTACTAACAACTTGCCAAAGGACAGGGGATGACAGTAGGGATGACAAGTCAGACTGTGATCAAGGTCAGAGCTAAAATGTCTGCGAAAAACTGCGAATTCTTTGGACATAGTGAGGTTTTAGGTTTTCTATTCATGTGAAAAAAGGGGATGGAGGGGTGCTGGGAAAAGGGAAAATACTGGACTGAATGAGTATGCCTGAGGTATGACGAACAAAAGTATGAATTGAAGCTGGTGTTGGAAGCTAGAGAAATGTTGAGAAAGAAATGGTGAGCTGGGAACACTTAGTATTCAGATGCTTCTATCTCATTCAAGGAAGGACATGGGCACACACACACACACACACACACACACACTCTCTCTCTCTCTCTCTCTCTCTCTCTCTCTCTCTCTCTCTCTCTCTCTCTCTCTCTCTCTCTCTCTCTCTCTCTCTCTCTCTCTCAAACACTCCTGAGGTGTTGGCGTCTTAATTATTTTTCTGAAAAACCCTTATTTCTAAATTGAAAGCCCTCAAGAAATTCATCAGAGATTGGTGGTACAGAATACATCAGGGGTCAGCAACCTTTTTGATATGAAGTGCCATTTAAAAAACAAATTGTGATCAGTGTGCCGACGATCGTGAACTGCCACAATTTGTTACGGGTCCCAAAAGCTTGGGTACCACTGCAACAATAAAGATATCTGTAGAAAACAGAAAAGTGCAGCAGCAATCAACGCTGCATCGGCACTCGTGAACTGTCAACAGGAGGGCGGGGGGAGCCTCGCTGTCACTGCGGGGAAGCAGTGTGTGGACCTCTTTCACCTGTCAGATGCCGTTTAAATACATTTAAATAATTGGTTTCAACGGCATAATAATAATGACGACCGTCCGTTCTGTGATTCTCCAGAACACACAGATGGCCAGTCCGCCCCTGTGTAGCATATTATTTTCGATGAGAGATGAGCATATCGCCACTGGGCTTTCAACTAAAGACACAGCCACGCATAAACTGCGGCATTTGTACAGCTCTTTATGGGTAGCCTACTGCAATTTGTGAAGTGCGGGAACGCTCCGGCAGCACTACACCCCTGATCGTTTCACCACGGAGGAAAGCAGCAGCAAATCGACTGGAGAGAGCGGGGCTGCGTTGCGTGCATGGCTTCCTTCTGTCTCATTCAGGATCCGAAAAAAAACAAAAAATATTCCACTTATTCCTAGTGTGCCACTGGTTACAGTGCTGCGTGCCAGGGGTTGCCGACTATGGAAAGCACAAAGTGTCATTATACGCGCATATGTTCGCGCGAATAAACGGGCGAACATACGCGCATATTATGGCACTTTGGGCTTTCCATAGACGACCCCTGCTATACATCATCAGCACCAGTGCCAAACCAGCATCACAAAATGAAAATACATTTAACTATTTTTTTCTGTACGTGATGCTCGTGTGCATATTAAAAGTGTTGTCATGAAAACAATCTGATAATTTGTTATGCTATGTTTTTCCTGGAGTATTTACCAATGTGAGGTTTTGAAGCTTTCACACAATATATCTGAGCTGTTATCAGGGAAAATTACCCTGCTGTTAAATCAGAAATGTAGGGTCAGGCAGGCAATGTGTTTTATGAATGTAACCCTAATAACCCCGACTGTGTTACTGGGAAAACATTTTTCAAGCAAAATGGTTTGAAACGGTGGTGCATGATGTTTACATGCTCTCCTTTTCTGTTTATTTTACCATATATTAACATGAAATAGAGCCTATCTAGTGGATTAAAAGGCTCTTTTTGTCTGAAAGCTTGCTTTCTTTGGAATCTTTTTCATCAACTGCTCATCAGAAACGTACAAAAGAATTACTTTTCTGATACATTTTCTGTTTTCATTCACAAAGATTGTGAGCCTAGGAGTGTCATATGTGCAAGAAGCTGTGAATATTTTCTATTAAGAGTCTACAAAGAGGAAATTGGGTTTGCTGTTTTGCTGGCAGCACTGTAATTAATGTATTATATTCTATTACAACAACTTTATTTATTATATCAGTCCTCTTTTTTGTCACTTTCCACTTTTTCTACAGAGTTGTTGGAACAATATTTATGTGCAAAATGAATGACTATGTTTCCAATTGTCTACAACGTTTTCAGCTGACTAACACTTCAATTTTAAGAATGCTTTAAATGTTTTGCAATTATGCTTAAAAATGTGAGTGAAATTAGTTGCATATTAATTTTCTGTATACTCGTTGTTTTAAGAACTAATTATGGCAGCTTTATTCGAATGTGAATTTAGTTTCTGATACAAGATAAAGAGGAGGCATGTGGCGCAGTGGATTAGTGCGTTGGTGTTCGGATCAGGGGGAGCACAGGTTCAACGCATGTCGTTGTGTCCCTGAGACACTTCACCCCAAATTGCTCCTGTTGGGATTGTCCACAGTATTGAGTATGTAAGTCGCTTTGGATAAAAGCATCTAACATGTAATGTAATCTAATAAACAACAAGTCACGGTAGCTTTAAGATATTTCTTACTGGAGTTTGGAGTCACGACTACCAACACTTGATTTTCTGACCACATCTTCATCTCACAGTTCTCTGCTCTTCTTGCCCCGCGGTTTTCCTTATTGGCAAAGCATTTTCTTTTTGCCTCTGCGCCAGAGAATGCATTTTCAGGTTGTCAATCTATCAGTCCTTCCTTCCTATTTTCATCAATAAGATATCTCAGTACCGCCTGGAGGACATGTCTTCAAGTTTGAAACAACATTAACCTTTACTGGTCAGATTTTGATGGTCAAAGATCAATGTGACCTAAAAAAAACACATTTGTTCATAACTCAACATTTTCTTTGCTAATTGTAACAGAAAAAAACTGTTTTATTGATGACAAACGAGACAGTTACTGTGAACTTTACCTGTTATAATGGAGGCATACAACACTGAGGCTGATTAATAACTGATTCTTTATCGAACCTTTTCAGCACAAAAGCAAATAATTGTTTAGGTTTTATGCAGGTAAAGTTATTTCAATGTTTCAAAGTTATTTATATGTAATCCGGTGTTTTGCTGTCTCTCTTGCCAGTAGGAGTGGGATGTAAAGACCATTATGAAGGGAAAACTGCCTCTGTAGACCAGTGGGCTACTGTGACTTGGTTATCAGGGTGTTCATGCAGTTCCTGAAGAATCAGACAGTGTGAAATTGCAGGGGGGTGAATGTTGAGGCTCAGCTTAGAGTGTGTGTTTATCCCACACAGCAGGTGAGCTGGACCAAAACCCCGGACTGGGTTCTCTTTACCATCTTATTATTTATGATGGGTCAAATACATCCTGACACCACTGACTTATGTATATTAGTGGGTGACTTTGTTTCCTTACGTAGTTCTCTATGTGCATGTTATTAACACTTCCAGTAGGCTACAGTTTATATAATGCAATCATCATATTCCCATTGTCCCAGATGTCATGTTCAATGTTTGCTTCATCAGCCTGGGCGTAGTCGACATTGAAATAAAATAATTGGCTTTTATATCAATATTTGCCCCTGTTCTACATTGATCTATGTGTCTCAAGCTTATATGCTTAACATCTCTGCAAAGTGTGCAAGATTCTTTTAATACCTGCAGATTAGCAAATATCCATGAAGCTATAGGAGAGTAAACGGCACACCCAACATGAACCCTCAAATTAAACATGCAGATCAGCAAGAGTCTAAGCCATCCTTCTCAACAGTCGCAATATTATGTGCACACACACACACACACTCTCTCTCATTTACAGCATCCAGATGGAAAGAACTGGTTCCCCACTCTCAGGATGCGAACTATCCTCTGATGGGAAAGTACACACAGACACAGTGTTAAATAGCCTACAAGGTATTAGGAGGATGATGGCACAGTGGATGTTGGAGGAAGTCGGCACGATATCCTATTCATGTCTCTAACCGTTCTGTATTTTCATAGAAATATTGCCCGTGCAATGTGAACAGGAAATGTGGTCCGAGGGTCTGCAGTGAGTCTGAGCAGGAAGCTCAGAGGCTCCATTCCAGAAGTCCCTGCAGCCAGCCGTAATTGGCTTACACATTCCTCCAAGGATTACCACTCACTTCTTATTTGTGTTTGTGAAAAAAAAGTATTAAAACATTTGCTTTGGCTCCTTGAATTGCACTCGGGCAAGTGTCAAAACACACTCAAGTGTTTCCACACATTGAGGGAAATATCTAAGTGAAAGGAGGATTTTAACTCTATTTGAACACATTCATAGTTGTATTTGTGTTGTAAGTACTTTCCAGATTTGGTCTGCATCTTCACTTGATTGTGTGTGTAAGTGCCTAGTACTCTTTAGATTAAGACATCTTTGAATATGGAAAAAGCACTATATAAAATATTAGGTATTATTATTTCCTCTTCACTTGCCTATGTCGTTTTAATTGTTTTATTATCCTCGTTATTTACTTGCATTTGAGAGCTGCTTAGCTAAATGTGTAGGAACAGTTTGAAACAGAAACAATTTAAATGCATAAGTTGGACCCATTTAGGCTGATTTGTTCAAATGGGAAATTTGCTCGCAGAACAATATAGAAGCACTATTGTGTTTTATAATTGCAGCATTCCTGAAAACAGACTGCAATTACAAAAAAGGACATTGCGTGTTCCAAATGAAACAGATTAACTCTTGGGGTGATGACACTGTCCAATTATTAAAACAGAAATAGAAAAGTCTCTCAGAGAGGCAGAGACGAAATAAGGAGCACCCTAACCATATTGATCTTGTATATGACTCACGTGGAGTTTGTAGAGCTGCTTATTTTCCCAGAGCTATTATCTATGAATGAATCTGGACTTTTTGATTCGCCGGGTGTGCCACCTGCTGGTGCGTCACGGCTGCTCTGGCCAATCCAGACGCAGTGATCTTCCGTGCGCCCTTGGAGATGCCGCACAGCTCATCACATCGCCGGCCAACCTACGGCTCGGTGACGGTAGAAGGCGAGCCCCGTTAGTTGTTTACCGTGAACGCCTCAGACTCGAGAGGAAGGGACTTCTGCCGCTCTGCCAAACATGCACCCGACACAAGTTTGACTGGATTGTCCATTTTCCCATCTACTTGTACTGCTTTTGACCTGCGCACCATTGAAAGTGATGAGGTAGGTGAACATATTGAATCTAAAAGTTTTGAGAAGTGTATGGTATTTTACTGGGAGAACCGATTCTCTTCTGCTTTATTCTGTCACGATTTCCTCGCACTACGTTGCACTTTGAAGTTGCAGGCACAACAGAACATTGTTCTTTACGCATGCTTGTCTCCTGATCGCACATGTATTGTATTCAGGATAGTGTTGCATGCTCGTATTAACTGTGTTCTTATTTAAATGTAAGTTTGGCAAACAAGTGCTGCTGCTGCTGCTGCTGCTGCTCCCCGCTCAGCATCCCTGCCCAACCCCTCTGCACTCTTCAGATGCTTCCCCTCCAAAAATTCTACGTGGCTTCTCAAGCAAATCTGTAAAGTTAATTAAAAACACGGACAAATATTTGTTTTCATAGCTGAAATCCTCTGAAAGTGAAAGTTAATGAAAAAGGAGAGCAGAAGGGATATTTGGGTTGATGCGTATTCTCCCTCTTGTGGCACATTATTAATATGGTGATCAGATATAAAGTATTTGTGACTGCAATGCATGGCTATGGACAGAGGAGGAAATTAATTGTGTCCTTACATGGCAAGTGAAATGCTCTCATGATTTGGGGTGACTGTTTATTTATGATGCCCTTAGATGGCAACGTGAAGGAATGTCCCCTCTCACTGACCTGGGGGTACTTTGACATTGTTCTGGATAATGAGTAAGAGCAGAGGGAATGGCATCTGTGCCATGGTGCAAATATTTTCCTTTTGGTCTACGGCTGCAGTTATTCATCACAGAAGCCTCAGTGTGCCTTTGACAATACAGTAGCCGTACCATAAATTATTCCCCCATGTCTGTAAACCCTGATAGTTTAACATTTTAATATGTTGCATATATCAACACAACCAGCGTGTTTTTATATCAATATATCAACAGAGCCACTGTTAGGGAACAGTGCAGTTCTATGTCATGGTGAATGCACGCTCTGTTACTAGTCTGGTAAAGGTGGAGCAGGAATGTGTTTAGATGATTGTGACTTTCCATTGCCTGCTGAGGGGAGACACGCAGTGGAGGACATTCAAAGAAAGGGACACATGAAGGAGAGGGTGAGATAGAAAAAAGGTAATAGGTCTTTCATGGCTTGATTTATTGTTTGAGCCCCGGTCAATATTGGTTGACTATTATTTTTTCAGCCTTTACCTGTCTTGATAGATGGTATTGCTTTGCTTCGGTCGTATTGATCATGGACTGTGGGTGGAGGATAGTGCATTGTTGTGACATTGATAAGTGCGATGAAAACGCCTTGCTTTTACCTTCTGCTGTACCTGGGGTTGTGCGTAGGTGTTGCACAGGGTGGCTTCTTGGCACAGATGCAGATGCTCGGATTATTAGTCCCAAGCTTGTCTTTATGTACTGATATAGAAAGCAGTCAGCCTTTAAAAGGTTAACCTACCATTTGTAATTCATTTGTGGGAAATACTGCTATAGTTTACTGGAACCTATAGTCAAGATCTTTCCCCATTTTGAGTTCAATCATCAAATGAATTGCTAGATATTTGGGAAATACTCTCATTGCTTTCATGTTAGATGAAAAGATCAACACCACTTTCATGTCTGTAAATATGAAGCTATGTCGCCAGCAGCTGATTAGCTTAAATTAACATCAAGAAAACGAAGAAACAGCTAGCATAGCTCTTTCTGAAAGCTTATTATTCCTACCAAAACCCAATGAGAAAGTTTAAGTAGTTGGGTTAGTGGTGACCAGATTTCTTTCAGTCTTAATGCTAAGCTAAGCTAATTGGCTACAGCTCTATCTCTTGCCATATATCACATTTGTGTATTTCCCAAAATGTTGAACAGTTTCTTTAAAGGGAAACATACATAGGCCTATGGTGCATATTCTTGTTAATATTTTCAGTTTAAAATGGAACTTTGTCAGATTAGGAAAAGACTGATTCACACTGGTGCAATATTATCAAAAAGAGGCAGCTTAAATACAAATACAACCTCACAAACATTTGGCCTCCATGCAAATGTATTGTCTCCTTAACCAAAAACTATGGCTGCCAAAAAGTGCAAAGGTTGGGGAGAAATCAAACAGCAGAACGAGGTATAGAGCTAGTCGTCACAACTAACAACACAGGAATATGCAACAATAAAATATGTGAAATAAATAGTGGCAGCCACTTATTATTCAGAAAAAAGCATAAAACATTATAGCCCTCAAGACGAAGCGTGCTCTTACTGGCTCCACAAGGCTACTTTTAGAGCAGGCAACGGGAGACAGTGATGGGAATTTTACAGGAGTCAGCTGGCCAAACAGACAGCCTAACTCCTCCATTGGGTTTCATTAGAGCTTGTCTTGATGTTAGAGCCTGTTTAATCCACTTTCACAGCCATGCAGACCACAACACAGCAAAGCACAGAATCTATCTATAGACAGCACATTGGCATTCACTTTTCCATCTCGGTTCAATCATTTAAAAAAATAACACAAATTCTCTGTAGTTGGCCTCAAAATGTCTCTGTACAAACTTTGTGCTCGTAATAACCCGTGCTGATGGGAAAGGGGATTTCATCACCGGATGGAAAGCTGTCAATCAGTGCTCAATTACGTTGTTCATAAAGAACTGTGTTTATACAGCCTTGCACCACTTCCTTATTTCCGTGTAAGCAGAGGCACTGCCTTAGGGTGCGATTACAGGAAAGCCTTGAGGGGAGAGGGATTGGCCTCATTGTCTTAGTATCCACTCTCTGGACAGCTACTGCTGTTGCCCCAAGTTCGAAGCACCTGTTTAGCTTCAAAGACACAGTGCTGGGAAGAGGCTATGTCTAAATTCAGATACTACCGTTATAACACACATACAATATAATACTTGATTTTGATTTTTGAAAGCGTGGTCAGTGTAGTTCCTTCTTCTTCTACTTCTTCTTCTGCTTCTTCTTGGCATACTGCAACCGGATATTATCCAGATATCACACGATCACACAAAATAGCTTCTTGCCAGGCTTCAAGTAATGCTTGTGAACGGACCAATCAGCATCCTTCATGCCTGCGAGGAGATATGGACGTGTGTGTGACAGCTGGTCGTTTTAAGCAGGAATGGCAACGTTATTTTATATGACCATCAATTAAGATACAATTCTTATGGAAGGGATTTAATCATAATTATATTTGGCGTCTAATGCAAATAAAATGTTATTGACTGAACTTGAATTGTTGGCGTCTCACGGTCATATTACTTGCAATAATGGCGCCCTGCAGGTGCAATTTAGGCTTTTATGGCTAACACGACGCTCATCCCTCACTGACCTTTACTAGTTGTCATAAGCCAAGCTGGAACTGCCCCTTATTGGTGGCAATAAGGTGTTCACTTCAGTGCTTTTAACAACTGCTGCTGCATGTTTATCTTAGGATATTGTGTATGTTCAGCACACAGAAATCCACACAAATCAAGATAATGCAAGTGAGATGTAGTTCAAAGGTCAGGTTTTTGGCAGGAAACGAAGGGTGATTTACAGTGGAAGAGTGAAGGTCAGAGATGTTGACTACAAAGGTTCATGTGGGTCTTTTAGGTCTATAAACTCTTCGGTGTGTTGAATCAGTCAGCTGTACATGCCCTTAAAAATACCCTTCATGGTGCGTTTCATACAAGTATTTTTGCAAATAGCAGGCTGGTACACTCAACTGCACCAGCAATCTTTATTCAAAATTTTTCTCTTTGAATCATTTAACATTTTCTTTCTTCTGTCCTAATGTTAAGGCATTCTTCCCTTTTCACCCACTCTCTCTGTCTTACTCCCTCTGTCATGTTTCACTGCCTCTCGCTCTCAAACTGTCTCACTCTCGCTACTTCTGCTCCCTCGATAAAATAAACCTCACTTGAGGGAACTCAGATTCATGTCTAATATGTGACTGTTCTTTTGTGTCTGCTCTCTGTCTGTGCTTAGCAAATAAATCAATAACGACTTGCCCTCCCGTCATTCTTACTGGTGGTCTATAGGGATGGATTACAGGTAAAGAGAGATGTACTGTTCACATAGAAATTTAGAAAATAGACAGTGAACGAGTCAACAGGGAATGATACTGATGCAGTGAAATTCGTATACTATGAGACAGAGTAAATCTGCACCAGCTCAAGAAAAGAGTGAAACTGTGATAATGATGGATGTTTGACTTGGCTCGGACCAGCCTCTAACTCTCAATATTCGGCCGTATATTTCTTAGTTCGTCATTATTCTGAGTTAATGTACTTTCACACAGTATTGATTACATTAAAGATTGCTTTGTAAACTGTCACGTACACTATGTTCTCTTTCTCACGTTAGCACACTGTGATCTTTTTAAAGCTATCTACAGTAGCTCTGGAACCTTGAAGCTTATGTAAAAACTAACAGATTTCTTTTCATAAACATTTTGAAGTAATTTGAGCCAACTGTTTAGTCCTTTTAATAAACTCCGCGGGGTTTTCAGTCGGGGCTGCTAGTTTAAAGTATTCATAAGACATCCCTTTGTTTGCTTAATTTGATTGGCTTCAGTTTCATAATGTTCTACAGTTAATGATGCTGAAAGTAGCTAGAACAAGACGGTGTTTAGGGAGCAGGGACTATATGCAAATATGAGTAAACTGCTTCTGTGCATGAAAGGAACCTGAAAGTAAGAAAGAAGAAAGAAAAGAACAACTGTAAAATACTTTAGCCGCCAGGGAGAAAATGGATAAAAGGAAACTAAATTCAAAGACACCTTTCAAAGTGTGGATCTTTTCTTTTAAAACTTAATTGCCTTGATGTTTTAAGTTTTCCTTGAATGTTGCTGATTCTTGTTTTCTACATTGCTAAACTCTCCAAAAAGCACGTTGGCCTTGTTCAGTAAAACATTTATGTATGATTGGGTAAATGCTCACAATGAACTAAAACATTATCCTTCATCAAACATATTGTCAGAAACGCATAAGGAAGCTTTTCCTGAACATTAAAGCAATTTCAATATTAGACGATACAATTTGCAGTTACGGGATATGATTGCA